ATATATTCATAAGATATAGATAAGAAAGAAACTTATCCAGGTAAAGGTAAAGATAATTAACTTCAGGTAAAGGTACGAGATAAACTCAATTAAGGTAAAGATACAGATACGCTCAAGGTAAAGGTACGAGATAAACTCAGTCAAGGTACGAGACAAACTGAAGGTAAAGATACGAAATAAACTCCATTACAGGTATGAGATAAACTCCATAAAGGTAAAGATAAACTCAATTAAGATACATACAGATAAAGATAACTCACATCTACCAATCCATATCACTAGTAGAGAGACAGGTAAACAAACAGTATACAATAATATATGTTAAAACTCAAATACGTTAAGAAGGTAATAACATAGGAGATAACAAACTAAGTTAAACAGACTTACTGCTGAATATCAGACTGATCCAATTCTAAGTGACACATTCTAATTTCAACCTAAGAGACACTCAAGGAACAATTAATATGTATTGATATATTTCTGAGCCAAGTGAGGGCACACATCCAGGGTGATCAATCCTGAACCCACGCTAAAACACCGACACAGTAAGTGAATGTGAATGCATAAGCTTTATGGTCATGATCCACAAAACTATACAACACTAATAAAGAAAATATTTGGAATGTTTTCCTAATTATCCCTGTAAATATCTATTCAACTCAGAACTCAAGATGGGGAAATTCCCATATATCCATCCTGTACTCCTATGATATGCAGTTGGACTTTTAAGAGAAAACAAACAACAAAATTAACAAGTCCATAAACTAAGATAATAACCAACATTAAGATAAGATAAAAAAAAAATAGAAGGCAAAATAGTACATCTTATGGTTTTTTGCCAGGTAAACAAAATTGATAAACATATCTTAAACAACCAAACTGTTACAGAAGTGATAAGGGATTAATGAGATCTAATGATATGAAGTTGAAATGGAAAATCAATCTATCGATAACTAACATTTAACCTGGTTGGGGAAGATTTGTCGGTTTGCATGTAGCACAGATTTTGCATTTAGCGATATAGCTACGTACAGTTTAACGCATCTTCGGCCAGTAATAAAGTTCAGATATTCGACGGAAAGTTTTGTAGAAACCAAAATGAGCTGCAGTAGAATGGTCATGACAAGTGGCCAAAACCTCTGCTCTATTAGGAGTTGGAACGACTATCTTCCAATCCGACATTCCAGTAAGGGCATCCATGGAACTTAAGACATGTTTATACAAAACACCATGTTCAACTTTAAAATCAGGAAATTTACCTAGTACATTCTGTACATTATACAACATTTTTTTAACAATTGACTGGTTAGATAACGGACTCTCAACTCATACTCTAATTCAGGAGCTAACAGATGCTCTACCTTGAAAGCAGACATATTACACAACTGATCGATATACAAGAGAATGAGTAAAAGTAGGTAAAGTTTAACTTACTCTCTGTCCTCAAATTAATATTCTGAAGGGATACCTATACCAGTAATGTTTAATTGTTTTGGTCCAGTTATGAAATCCAATGACATATACTGCTACAACACCCTAAGGAACCTAAAATTTCAAAACTGTTATTTCGAGGTAGTGACTCAACTTATTGGCTACTCCGGACTTGTAAAAATATGTGAAATAGTTAACTTTAGTTATTTAAATTTTTAATTAATTTATTATTAATTTAAATTGTTATTTAATCAATCAAAAACAAAGCAATTTATTCAGTCTACACAGTATATAGCAAAAACAAGTCAATTTAAGATATAGATATAGATATAAGGTAATGTCCAAAAAAAAATTGAAAAACAAAACTAAAAGTTAAAATGAAAATCTAAAAGCACAACCAGTGAAAACCACAACAACCCAAGATCAAAACCAAAAGTTAAAGGAGATATATATATATATATATATATATATTTTTTTTAAGGCAGAAGTGGAAAAGAAGCCACACGTTGGGTCTAGCCAATTGAAACGAATAAAATGTGTGAATTGACAAAGTTCAGAAGAACTGAAAGAGAAGTGATGGAAAAAAAAAATACTAAAAATAGGGCTAAGCTCAGAGGAACAAATTTAAATGGCCAAAGAGACACTAAATCTCAAGTGAGTGTTCGGGCTAGCTTCAATGCACTGGATTGTGGCTTTAAAGATTTAAACAGATAGCAAGGATACTGAGCTAATGAGACAAGAAACGAAATGAGACCTGGTAATATCAAACGTGATACAACTAAAGAAGGTCACTGGGAATAAATTTATAGAAAGAGAACAATAAGAAGAGAAAAGAAGGGCGCCAACTCAACGATAGTTGAGATTTTGAAGTAACAAATGAATCTGGAGGTAATACTCTGAAATACAAAAATACTAAATATTAATCTTGTTTTGCTATGTTATATACTGGTTAGTAGAACTGAAATAAAACTCAAAATAGCAACAATAAATATATTTATAAACAAATGTATATAGGTATATGTGTATAAACAATTTACATATAATGCAAAGCCAAATAACAGTGGTAGTGGATGGTGCACAGATACAATAGGACCTAATAGCCCCTCAACAAATGAATAGTCACTACCACTGGCCAAATAAAATATGAAATATTAGTATACAACAAGAATAGTCCGTAGGGTAGCCAAAGTCTTAAAACAAAAAGGTAGTCATTTAAATTTAAATTAGTTCTACTAAAATGAGGTACTAATGACAATATTGTAAAGATATCAAACTTGATAAATCTCTATTACAATTATATTAAATATATATATTACATCCAAAAAATGAGTTGTTCCATACTCATTATATAATATTTAAAAACAAACCACATTAAATTTATGTCCCTCTTAATATCAAATTGTATTATATTAACAAAAATATTATATCCAAAAAAAAGTGAGTTTGGTCAGACTCTCTAAATCCTAGTTAAAACCTAATAACACATGAAGTGTCCCTTTTTCCTCCCGAATATTTTATAATTAAATTATCCAAAAAAAAAATTATCATAAAGGTATTCACCTTATCATATGCATATGATCAGTTAACAGTAAATATAAAGTAATACGTAATACAAAAGGTCAAATAGTTAAACGACTTATCTTTACAGCACTATAAGTCCATAGGAAAAACTCCTCTTGGCACGGCTACATCAGTTTGTGGCTGTAAAGACGAATCCTGGTCACAAAAGCCACAACCAGTCACTGGTCTCTGGGTGACAGCAAAATCCACGGGTTTGCTAACTATGTATCTAAGGATTCTGTTACTAGTATCCTTGAGGGAATATTCTCAAGAGAATATCCTCAAGTAAAGTGAAATTAATATTTTCACGTGACGGAATATGGAGCTCGCAGCACGCCAACTCTTCCTTTTTATATGGAACTCTTATAAATGAATATTGATTTTATTATACAAAATTTACTTATTATTATTTTTATTAATGAATTATATTCTTCCCCAAATTATTTTCCTTGCTCCAATTCCGTCACTTTAAAGGTGAACAATTTCACCGGTTGGCGTGGCTGCGTTGACGAGTTCAGACCAAAACTAACCGCTTCGCTTCCGCACAAAATCGGTCTTCCTTTCAAAGCGATAACAGCGCGTGTGGGGGAAAATGTCGATTCAAAATCGATCGTAGGCGGGTAATAAAAATTTCTTGAGGGGTTTAAATTGGACTAGTCAGTAGCGTAAACGCTACAAAATACGTCCTTTCTTTGATTTCGGCAGCAAGTTTATACTAAATAATGCTTCGTGTGTTTCAAAAGCATTCCTGGAGCCAAATTATGAATTGATTGAAATGAGGTTGAATGCTCGAATAAATGAACTTTGAAAAATAAGGCTATTATCGAGCACAAGTTAATTAAGTCTAGCCCAAGTACTTTCGCTTAAAATAGCATCTTCAGGGGCATTTCGTCAAATATAAACTATCCGGATCCCTCCAGATACCGACAAAGAATGTAGCGTAGAATCTTTTAAGTAATTTTAAACTGTTTGTCCTCGTTTTAGTGTAGTGTTTTGTACAATTTTATGTCATTATTAATGTTTCCACATTCTACGCTTGCCGGAGAGTTTATATTTGACGAAATGCCCCTGAAGATACTATTTTAAGCGAAAGTACTTGGGCTAGATTTAATTAACTTGTGCTCGATAATAGCCTTATTTCTTAAAGTTAAATTATGAATTGTCTAAATCCTGTTCGCAATTACGCTTCAGTAATGCAATTGGTGTACCGTTGGACAACAGCCTTTCTGTTTTTACTAATTTCAATGCGTGCATTATTTTAAATTTGAGAATGTTTGATGTTGGAGGTGTTGTTTATTTTGAATACATACATCCTTGGTTTATTTTCTTTGAGAAATAATCATAGAAAACAATGTTTTGTTACCATCTAGTACATGTACACTTATTAAAAACAAATGGAGCACTGAAAGAAGGATCTGAGAAAATCCATAAAAAATATTAAATCCATAGAAACAATACAGAAATTGTTCTCTTGTTTAAATTGACAGAAACTATATAATAGACGCATTCATATAAAATAGTCTGTGGCCCTGATATTCGTTTTGGTCCAATTCGAGAGTGTGATAAAATCGTGTCATGAACACCATCACTATTTACTGAGGTCTACAGAGAAACTCTCCGTTCCGGTATTCATCTGTAATAAAAAATTTATCTCTTTTAAAGCTTGCAATTCAATTTTTGATGGTCGAATACGAAGAACATTGATCGCCAATGTTATTAAGGATTCTTACGTACATCTATTAATCTCTTAAACCCTTCAAATACAGGTACTTGATGATAGCTTGATACTCTAATTGTATGTTTTCAGAAAACGTTATACAACAGCTATTAGACTTATAAAAATATTGCAAATGGAAAATCTCTATTCTCACTTTTTCGATAATAAGATTTTAAACTATCACTTCGTCATTTAACAAAAAATTCATCGTAAGTTGATTTATGATAAATGGTAATCATCAAATTGAGAAAACTATGTACAGTAATAATTTATATTTATCTTTTTATTCCAGGAACGTTTTACTTTTTGAAGATAACGGAGTACCGTTTTCAAATAGCACCCTTTTAATGACATACGAATTGGACGTAGACTTTCTGATTAAATCAATAAAAATTAGACAGTCAATAAGAAACGGGACTTTCAATGTGATGGATTTATAAAAACAAAAAGTTTATTCCAAAGGTGTTCCTTTATTATATAAAAAGTGATATTTGATTTTTATCAAACGCCAAAACGATTATAGAGTGATTTTTGTTTGTATGCTTTGTATTTTTGAGATTTAATTGCAATTATTAATATTTTAATTAACTGTCTTGCTTATAAACATATGCGTTTCTATTTGTAACGGTCAAGGTTACTATTAATAAGGTGTATTACCTTTTTACCAAAGATAATAATGCCCAGGTCTATCTAGTACCTATAGATACATTACACTTAGTATTTTGGAGTCGATTTACATCTAATTATACACAACATATGCAGGAGAGCTGCGTATGCTCAAAATTACATAATACTTGTCCTATCAGACTATTACATATTGGTTCAATTACTCAAATTTTTGCTGAAGAATTTGTTGCAAAAACTGCATCTTCACAATAGAAGTTCCTATTCTATTTGAAGACGTTGTTGCACTCCTGAATTGTTTACTGAACGCTTTCATGTCTTCTAATAATTTTTCATTAGAGCCTGTAGCCATGTAGACCTTAACTACCTCAGTCTTGGCAGGATTTTTTTAGAAGTGTACGTTCAGAAGATAATCTTTTCCACTGGTAAATTATCCAAAGATGGTCTGCAGACTTATTACTTACCCTTTTTTAAATAGTTGTGTCATACATCATAGTATTGGATATTGAATTCACAAAAATCAATTTCCTTATCACGTGGTATATTACATCAGATTTTAATTGGTGCCATATAAATTGGCATTAGTCATAGTCACACCTAAATTATATGACCATTTTTATTCAAGCAATGTCCACTAAATATCATAATTTACTTTATAATATTTGCTTAGTATTTATTGCCATCATTATCATCAGTGCTTCTCTAATCCTTATTGACCTCTGTTTTGGGCTCCATTGATTCAGTTGCTTCTTCTTCTTCTTCTTTACGTGTCATCTCCGCGACAGAGGTTGGCAATCATCATGGCTATTCTGATCTTAGATGCTGCTGATCTGATTAGGTCGATTGATGTGCATCCATTCCCTCAAGTTACGCAACCATGAGATTCTTCTGCTTCCTACACTTTTACAATGCCCTCAATTATATATATATATATATATATATATATATATATATATATATATATATATATATATATATATATATATATATTATATATATATATATATATATATATATATATATATATATATATATATAAAATAACGGATTGATTACGGCTGTCGCCGCTACGCAGTTGCCTCTTCTAAGGCTCTTGCCGCCATTACTTCATCAATATCGTTGCGCCAACTTCTCCGTGGTCGTCCTCTCTTTCTTCTTTCAGGAGGGATCCATTCCAGTACTCTTTTAGGCCATTTGTACTCTGGCATTCTTTTAACATGTCCGAACCAGATTAATTGTTTCCTTTCTATGTCATCATTGATATTTCGCTCCATTTTCATTTCGTTTCTTATTTGTTCGTTCCTAACTCTTTCGATCTACCGCAGCTTCGTCTCAGATAATCCATTTCTGTCGTCATAAGTTTGTTTTTATTAGCTTTGGTGACGTCCCCATACTTTCGAACCGTAAAGTGTAATACTTTGGACTATACTACCGTAAATGTGTTTTTTGGTTTCTCGTCTACTTGTTTTTTGCCAGAGAAGAGAGTTTAAGGCACGGGTCGCTGCTCTACCCTTTCCCTGATTTTATCTGCGCTATTTCCCTTCTTATTGAAAATGACCCCCAAATATTTGCAGGATTGTACGCCTTTGATTTTGTCGTCTTCCAAGACTGGGTCACATATTTCATCTGTTCCCACTGATAGATATTCACATTTTGTCATATTCATGTTTAGACCTGCCACCTCATATTCTTCTTGCAGTTTTCTTACCATATAGCTAAGATCGTAGCTATCTTCGGCAATTACTACCTGGTCATCCGCAAAGAAAAGTGTATATAGCGTGTTTTCTTCCACCGTTATTCCTATGTTTCTACATTTTTTTAACCAATTCACTAAGGATCTGTCCAAATAGATTTTAAATAAGGTGGGTGACAGACAGCAGCCTTGTCTTACTCCCTTTGTTGTTTGAAAAGGAGAGGTGATTTCTTGTCCCATTTTAATTCTTGCAAAGTTTTGTTCGTAGTATTTTTGAGTGGCGTTAATAAGAATTGGGTTTATTTTCAAGTTATCCATTTCTATCCATAGTTGGGAGATCGGTACACTATCATATGCTTTTTCTAGGTCTATTAAAGCTATATGGGTTTCTCTATTTCTCTGCACTCGTTTTTCCATTGCAATTTTTAATGTGAAAATATTATCCATAGTGGAGCGTCCGTCCCTAAATCCCGCTTGTTCTTCGGGTTGTTTTAATATCTTATCGGGTATCTTTAATATCATTTTCTATCAGGTTTCTCAGTGCTTTTGAATATAATCGGCCTATAATAGCAATCACTGCGATCCCTCTATAGTTTTTAGGATCCGTTTTTGTGCCTTTCTTGTGTATTGGAGATATATACGATTGTCTCCATTCTTCTGGAACAATTTTCCCTTGTATAATTAATTGAAATATGTTGTATCTTTCATTGCGCATAACATTGCCCTAAGTATTGCAGCTTTTGTGTCTTGATGGTTTCCAATATTTCCATTCTTTTGTTGACTCTTTCATCAGGCTTCGTCAGACTTTCATCATTATTTTGGGTTTTTGATATCCTCATAAATTTAGTTTTCTTGATGTTTATTGATAATCCATATTCTTCTACATACTCAACTATCTTGTTCATTAGCTTTTGGACATCTTGGAGTTTGTCTGCTATTATGATAGTATGGTCCGCATATCTAATGTTGTTAATTTGTGTTCCATTGATTTTTATTTCACAGATCAAGAGCTCATTTCATAATTTCTTTAGAGTATGCATTGAAAAGTAGTGGTGACAATACACACCCCTGTCGTCCTCCACTTTTAATTTCATATTCTTCTCATGTGTGTTCATTAATGCGTATGTGTGCCTGCAGTTTATAATATAGATTTGTTATAATTATTGTTGTTGCTGCTGAACATTAATCCGTAATTTTTTTCTCTTTTTTATTTTCCCGAAACTAGTATCTTGAACCCTTTGTTGTTAGTTTCTAGTTGGTTATTCTCTTTGGATGAATTATATATTAGCTGTTTTTATATGTCGTAAGTCACTTAAATCTTTACATATAACAAACTTCGCAATATATTATGCTTAAATGGTTTGATTTAGTTTTTCATTTATTAGCTTTCTTTTTTTATCTAGTGCTATTTACACGCTTCGATTATTTAGCTAATTATCTTTTTTGTAGGAGTTCTAGCCTCTGTTTATATTTTTGTATTAATCATATTTTTCCAAACCCTTGGTTTCTCGGGATTACAAGTCTCATGACGGTCTTGTACATCGTTAACTTAGTTTTCTTATTTATTTCTTTCCCTAATCTCTAATTTACTAATAAAAGGAAAAATCCCAGTAGTTTAAAAAACTTACAGTGAAATGAAAAACGTTCTAGTTTAGTGCGTTTACAATCTTATCAGACAATTATAATAAATGTCTTAAAAATTAAAATTGAAGTGACTTCTTAATGTCGCTTCGACCTCATGAAGATTTGTGTAAATTATATTTTTTGTCAAATGTTGAGCCTGCAAAAGCCGACAAATAAAATGTTTTTAATCACAATTTGCTCAGCAAATGTCTGTCGGGTTTTGCAACCTCAGTCACGATATTTTAATTATCTATGTCTTCCAGTTATTGAATTAAGAATAATATATATTTCAATTGTATGAGGCATATAAACAACAAATTTCTATTAAGCACCCATTGGTTCTTAAGATTTTTCCACTAAGTTGATCGAACCAAAGAATTTAAATATATTTTTTTGTTATTTTTAGTGATGTTATCCCGAAAGCGTTTTTTTAATTTATTTTTCTACATTTCAAAATATACAAAGAAAGAAAGTGGATATATCAGGGTTTGTTTTTAAGAAAAAACTGTTCGATTACAAACTATCTATCTATCTATATAAGGATTTTTACAGCTGTCGCCGCCTTCCTTCTTTCAGCCAACGTCTCCAGCCCTTGCTGTTCTGCCATTCTCCATCTCTAAGATCTCGTTTTTCCATGGCCTCGTCCACTTCATCCCTCCATGATCTTCGGGGTCTACCTCTTTTCCTCCTTCTACCTACTTTCCTTCGATGTAGCTGAGTATGTCTTGTTCTACTGCCATTCTTAGACTGATGCGATCTATTTTTGTCATTCTGCAGCTTCTTCTCATGAACTCCATTTCAGTTGCTGTGATTTTGGACCTGTTTCGTTTATTACCCAATTCTCTGCTCCATAGGTCATTATACTGCGTACCAAGGTGTTATAAATTCTCTTCTTTGTATTTCTGGTAATCTGTCTATCCCACAGTACCTCGTTCATTTGTTTGATACATGTTCTTGTCTGTGCTAATCTGCTGGTTATGTCTTGCTCGGTGGTTCCATTTTTTGAGAGTATGAATCCTAAATATTCAAATTTTTCAGTGCCATTAATTTCCCTATCATCGTCCATTTACAAGTTTCTCACTGGTTTTTGCTTTGTTGTTAAATATTCGGTCTTTTCTAGATTTATTTCCTGTCAATTTTTTGTGTATTCCTTTTCTAATTTTCGGAGCATGTAGCACAAATCTTCTTTACGATTACAAACTACCAATGTTTATCATTTATCTTTCGGTATCTGGCTGTAAGAAGAATTAACTAATCGAAATATTTCCTACCGATAATCTTGTGTCGATGTTTCATTTCATTCCAACCGTTGGTTCTTGTTTATTGTACAAGATCGCACTGCAAGATCACTACGTTCATAACGTACTTAATCAAACACAAATTTAAACATATATTTAAAATTAGGAGAATACATTGATAGGTTGCCAGTCAAAAAGTTGTCGCAAATATTTTTAATTTCATTACGACTAATTCATTTTTGACAAATATGTAAAAAGAAATAAAATAAGTTTGACTCACAATAAATTTAATTTTACCACCAAAATGACCGGTTTTGCTTACTACAATTTGCTAAGCATCTTCAGGTCACAATTTTCGGCC